TCATGAATGAAAATAGAATATGTCAACGTTTTTGAGAAAATGAGTGAACGAAAAAAAAAAACAATACCAGTAAAAAATACTCTTTTAGTTAAATATTTGTACTATTAGCACGAAGCTTTTAATTTTGGTGTTTCAAACATACCTTCTCTGTAGTAATGACTCGTAACAAAGGTATTTCAATGCACCCATTTGTGAATTCTCAGTATTATTATATTAACATGCAGCCTTGATATATATTTAAATAAATGGATAATGTGTCCCCATGGACACAGATGATGACCCCGCTTGCATACAACATTATAAAGGGACATGACTTAAGAACGATAAAAGCGACGCGAACCAAAATGTGTAATTGATCTGAGTTTTATGGTTATAAGTATTGTGTATAGGTCTCATAATGTTTGGTTGGGACAAACTAAAGTTACAGAACGGAAATTAATTTTTTTTACAATTTTTCAAATTTTTATAAAGGGGCATAACTCGATAATGATTAAAGTGACTCCACCAAAATTCAACTTGATTTGTATTTTGTAGTACAAAACATTGAGTATAAGTTTCATAACATTTGGTCGAGGCAAACTTATTAAAAAGTTAGAGAACGGAAACTAAAAATTTTGCAATTTTTCCATTTATAAAGTGCATAACTCTAGAACGGTTAAAGTGACGCCACCAAAATTCAAGCTTGATCTGTGTTTTGTGATAATAAGCAGTGTGTATAAGTTTCATAACATTTGGTTGAGGCAAACTAAAGTTTGAGAACGGAAACCAATTTTGGGACGTACGGACGTACGTACGGACGGGCAAGGGTAAAACTTAATGCCCCCTCCGCTATGACAGGGCCGTAAAAATCGAATCTAAAGCCAGATAAATCAAACATTTTATTTTTACTTTATACGTTTTCAGGACAACACAATCTCAAACCCGCCTTGAACGTAAAGTGTGTTCTCGACTTTCTCTTTACGATAAGATAATTGCCGATTTTTAGACCCCCCCCCCCCCCCCCCCCTAAAAAATACTCTCTTGTATTTTTCAATTTTTTTGACAAATTGACACACAAAATGAATATAGTATTGTGGATTTTTTAAAACTAATATGTTCGGTACATTGGTAACAATAAAATTAAAAATACTTAGTATCTTCCACATACCCTTTATAATATCTGATGTATACATATTTATGACAATAACTGTTGTGAGCACAAGATTCACTGCACCGTTTTAAAGTTCTGCATAACCAAAAATTAAAAGTGTGAACTTAAGTTTTGCGAAATTTGTTTGATGAGTATCGATTGAGATTTTAATCTAATAGAACTTGGTTTACCTATTAGTTGAAAATGCGGCTTTGAACTAGCTTTCAGTAGCTGCGAGTACTCGTAGTTCAATAATTTGTGTCTTTATGTTATTATTTTGTGTGCTATGTTGTCTGCTCTTTGGTCGGGTTTTTGTCTCTTTGACATGTTCCCCATTTCCATTCTCAGTTTTAAGTGTCACATGTGTTGTTACACAACTGTACCAATAAAGGAGAAAAGAGAGAGGGGTTGGTTAGGCAACGCATTCAAACATGTTAAGCGCTGTCACGAGTGCCCAAAACCAGTGGTTGTCGATGGTTGTAACTATGTAATATTTATTTTTTTTTTCAAGTTGTTTTTTAAATCAGGCCGAACGTCTTCATTTTTTAATCGTTTACATTTTTATACCTAGCATTCCTTATAGTTTTTGCTCGTTGTTAAAGGTCATATTTGACTTGCAATTTTTCACATTTAGTCCCATTTCAGTCAGTTTTTATCAGTCATGTATGATAAGCAAGTCTGTGTTGTTGTTTTTATCCAGTCGAAATGTATTGGAGACAGTGTATATGTTCCGGACCATATGAGTATTTGGAAGAAATTAGAGACATGCACCAGTAGTTGGATCATCTAACCTCGTATATTTAATTGAAAGAAACCAGTCAAACGTTTATTGTCGTTATATATGTCGCTTTACCTCAAGCACCTTTTAACTGTTAGTTAGCATATTATGTAGAGAATCATCAAATTAAGGGCATTTAATATCTTAAATAAAACTATACTAATTAGATATATTTTCATCTGATATTGGACGGAAGATGTTGCCCTTTTATGTAATATAAGCTACGATTATTTGAAAATGCTTATAAACAGCCAAATGGATGCACAAAAGTAAAAATATGAGTCACAAATCCGATTGAATACAATTATCTGTCCTATTTTATTGGTTCTGTAACGTTTGTTTCAAATAGGACCAACTTTTTACCAAAAATCACCAGCACCGTATCAGGACCCACCAGCATAATGACAGGACCCACCAGCACAGAATCAGGACATGTCTAAACCGAGAAAATGCACAATTTTAATAAATTGCGCAGGTTTTTCACAAAATAATTTTGTCGTGTGGATTTGGGTATAGAAAGCGGACTCCAGGGGCATTTTTGTTTTAATTTTTCAGTTCTAGATTTTCTAAAAATGAGCACTTTTGTGTTACGCTCACTGAAACAGTTTAGAGGGTCACATTTTACAATGTCTGCCTGTGAACCCATAAGAAACAAAACTCAAACATCTCAACTGTTTCCTTCGATTTTTTATGCGAGAAAACGTCAAAAATCATCTTTTTCGTCTTTGTTTACATATTTTCAATGATCACCAGCACCAGTCAGGACCAAATCACCAGCACAGAACGTTTTCTCGCAGGACAACCTTACCCACCGTGCTATCGCATACACTAAGAAAATTCATTACGACCAAAAAAAATTAAACTCCGATATACCCGCCAAGCAACCTTTTATCAAAGGTCATCTGCACTTTTACAAATACACTGTTTCGATGCCTTTAAATCATCTTCCTACTGTCCCGCGTACAGGTGAAATTTGACCTTCACCAAGTCACTGTGAAATATGGCAAGCGGTAAATTATCTGTGACTGAACGTTGACAAGCAATTGACATGTCAAATGCCGGTAGGAGCACTAGGAGCATTGGTAACCATTTCAATGTTAATCGCACCGTCATTGTCAGATTTTTACAACGTCATATTGACACAGGAACTGTAAATGATAGACCAAGGTCAGGAAGACCCCGTTTAACTACCTATCGTGATGACAGACTACTTATTGGTCGTGCTAAAGCCAACCCATTTACTCCTTCCCAATAGCTTAGACTCCACTGGCCTCCAGGTGGTCGTGTTAGTGTTCGAACATTGGTCCGTCGACTTCATAGAGGCTACCTAAGAGCATGTCGTGTTGTCAAAAGACGTGCCCTAACAGCCAGGCACCGTATAATCAGGTTTCAAAGGGCTAATGACCATCGACGATGGAACATGAGAACCTGGCAAAATATTCATTGGTCAGATGAGAGCTGGTTTCTGTTACCAGCAATAGACGGCAGAATACGAGTTTGGCGGGGAAATAAAACTGCCTATCACCAAAACAACAATTGCCCAACGACAGCATTCGTTGATGGTGGTGTAACAGTATGGGGTTTCTTCTCATACTGTTGTAAGCTGGGTATGCATATTTTGCAGGGTAACATGAACGGACAGACATATAGGGATTTGGTGCTTAGAAACATTGTAGTCCCTCATTTTGAGAATCCCCAACTTGCGTCAAGACCCTCGTACATGGACGACAACGCTAGACCACACATGGCAAGGATTGTAACCGATTACAAAGATCAAGAAGCCATTGTCACTATCTTTTGGCCTTCCATGTCTCCAGACCTGAACACTATCGAACATGTCTGGGATGCCATTGGCAGAAATCTCAATCGCAGAGATCCACCTTTGCAAAATCTTGGCGATTTAAGAGGGGCAATTGTTGATGAATGGAATAAATTTGCTCAACTAAAGTTCAGAAGGCTTGTACAGAGTATGAGACGCCGTGTTGTGGAACTGTACCGGAAGAGATGTTGTTACACATTAAATTTGCCGAACATACCAAAGATTATTTGTAGAGACTTTTAATGATTTTGGGTGATTAATTGTTGTAAAAAAATAAAATCTAAGTAAAACTTAAATTCCGTTTCTGATTTGTGTAATTTTCACTATTTCTATGAACGTAAAATTCAAATGCATCGAACCTGTGTGAACGTGGAATAGTTCGTTTTGGTTTGTTTGTTGGTATATGGCTATAATAGCTGGAATGAAAAACCAATTCTTTGTAAAATAATAGATCTTTATTAATTGCTGGTCAATGTTCAAGTGACCACAATTTCATAAAATACAAATTTTGTTTCATTCCCAGGTGAGGCCCAATTAGGTAAAACAATTATATACACAAAGGAAAATATCTCATAAACCCTGTCACTGGCCCCATGTCACCTAAGAGCTAAAATCTATGATAGCGTGGTCTTAATCCGGACATGCTAATCCAACATATAGTCAAAGGTTACATAATATTTGCTATCGCTAATAGATAATATAATAAACTCTAATTTATAGCTTTTGTAAATCTTTTGTAGAAAAATGACAATTTATAGCTATTTTATTTCTTTGTCGAATTCTGGTATTTTATATAATCTCTTTAAAATTAACTTATATATTTGGGTGACATGACGACAGTGAAATTATTTTTATTTATAAAATAAATTAAAACTCATTTCTATTAAAACTATAGTAAAAATAAGTAAAAGATCTATAAGAAAAAGTGATGGTGCATTTTTCCTTATCACAAATATCCCCGTCATTAAAGATTCTTTGTCCTCAAAGAACATAAGAAATAAAGTAAAAAAATCCAAATATCTAAAAGTGTCTCTGGGATCAAGTCAACATACACTTCTGAAATACATATTTGCAACAAGTCACATGAATACAATAGGATATTGTGCCCTTTTTCAGCATACACGCATACAATTCAAATATTAATGTTTTATGTCACACAATGTAAAATTTGATTAAAGAGGTATATCTTTGAAAGAATTGTATCGTACCAGTGTTCATAATGAGGCAATTCACATTACTATGGCTATCAATAAACAACCTTGAAAAAATTGTTGTGTACAACTAAAATGTATGATGTGAATGGTGATTTAAAAATGTTTCTCAACATTTTTGCTTTAATTGGATTGACTGTAAATGTGTCAGGTACCTTGATTTGTTGTTTTGTGTGAACATTGACTATGCTTAAGCCTGACATTTCAACATGTAGTTTTGTATAAAAAGTACCAGATATTCTCATGTTTGTTATGTTATTTGGTGTTGCAATATCCCAATCTGATGGACATAATGGTAAATTGACAACTGGTATTGTCAAGCATGTTAAACCATTGCTGATTTCAAGTATGATTTTAGTGTGATGTCTTGTGCATACTTGTTTATATAAATAATGCAATACTCCAACAAATGAGATAATTGTGATTGCTGACAACACTATTGATGGCCACTGATTTAACTGTGGTGATAATAATGAATCAAAATTTTGAGTTGTTGATATAGGTGATTGCATGTAATGAAATGTTGGTGGTGTTTGTTGTGTCACAAATGCAGCTGATGATGGAGCTTTTTGTAACAGTATAAGTGCTGTTGTCAATGCACGAACTTTGTTAAATAGTACAATGCAAGCAATCGTCAAAAGTATTGATAACACAAGAGATATTAGCGAGATCATCTTATTTGTGTTTGGCCAAGAATCGTCGATATCAATTTCACCATCAAGTAATGGTTCTGACAATGAGGTAAATATTTTTCTGTCTGCTTTTGCTGCTTTTGCTATTCTTTTCAGGCTTAAGTGTATATTATTGTCTTGTGCAATGACTGAGTTAAATGTATGGTTATAAAAATGAAGGTTGGGAAGTGTAATGTCTGCTGGGTCTGTAAAAGTTGTGTCACCTAATATCGAATTATAAGTTTCTGATGAGAAAAAGTGTTGAATAAGTGCTAAATTTACTGGATGTACTATAGTCACTGTATTTGTATTGTTATCGCACAATCCTATTTTTACAGGTATAAATAATGAATCTGTTTTTACAGAACAAAGACATGGAACATGTATAATACAAAAGGAACATCATTTTTCAATTTTATGACCTGATGGACAGTCAAAAGCAAGTGTTTTGGTTTTGTATACAAGTAAACTTGTGTCAGTTATTTCTATGACTGCTGGCTGTATGATATTTGTAAGGAATCGGAAATTGCAATCTGAATGTACGCTTTCTTTGTCATTGAACAGTAGTGCAAAGGAACAACTTGGTGAAACAGATGAAAGTAAAGGAAAAGTTTGTATGCAGTACAGTGTATCTATTCCTGAACATGTTTTTACAAATTCATCTGATAATTCTGCATACTGTCTGTTATCAGATGTGATTACTAAGTACTGTGGGAGATCTAATAATTGAGTTGTGTGATTGCTGGTTGTATTTATAGGTACAGGGTATGAGTTTATTTTGTATAGAGTGAGTGGATTCACAAATGTAGTAATTGGAAATTTGATGCTAATGAATAAATTTTTGTGATGTCTAGTATATAAAATGTTAGCTTGTGAATAATAATATGATGGGTTCACATTATTTAAGTAAAAACCTTTGAATTTGTCATTTAAGATAGATTGAATATGCTGAATTGTACGTTTGAGATTTTGTGGTGAAATTAAAAATGGTGATAATTTGCCTTTAACTAACTCATGTACAGCTATTTTGAGTTCTTCTAGATACTTATTAATTTCAGCTGTTTCATTCATTTGTTTGAGTAAAAATTTTGACAATTTGATGCTTAGTTTCTCAAATTGTGAGATGAATTTTGCAGTTTCTTTAGTGATATTTTGAATACCTTCATAATTGTTTTTTATACCAACTATGATATTATCAAATCTCTTATTTGTTTTTGACATATATGATGATAACAATTTATCGTGATGTGTAATATCTTTTGCAAATTCATTATTTCTTCTGATTAAAATGTTTACATGTTTTGCTAATCTATTTACATCCTCAGTAGTTGCTGTGCCAAATAAAGAGTTGGAAATTGAACCAATAAAGTCAAATAGTCCACGCTTTAGTCTAGATTCTGTATTGGATTTGTCTTCAATATCAATATGTGGAATAAGTTTATGAATAACCTCGACTGTGTGATTCACATTTGATGATACTTGAGTTCTAATTGCAGTAAGTTGTGATAAGACTTGGTTTAAAATATAACAATGCTGATGTGTTATACCACATTGTTCAAAGTTTCCATCAGTTTGTTTGCTAGGAAGGGGAATCTTGAAAGTGTGAAGCCAATTTTCACGACCCGAAAGTAAATTTGGTTGTCTCTCAAACACTACTCCATAATTGATACGTTGTATCTGGTGCACCTTGTCAGCTGACACACATATCATTATCCACAACCATATAAAAATCTTGGCAAGACTTATAACTCCTATAGAAAACAAAGAAAAAGGAAATTGATAGAATGTGAAATGTTTGTTGGGTAAGAGGTTGCATGCCTCTTTTAGCACTAAGTAACATGAGCATAAGCTCATAATTTTTAACAAACATTACACAGAAAGCAAAGAAAGAATTTTATAGTAAGAGTGTTCAGTTATGCCAACATCCTCATATAATGTTTCACAGATAGATAGGTGACCAATGTATGAAGTTTTAGATATATATGTAAAATTGTAAAAACCACTACCGTAAAAGTTATATATATATATAATAATCTATCTCATGAAAGTCAATTGGAAGAAAAAATTTCAAAATTGCTATACAAAACATGGATTCCTTTGTGGGCGTTTGCGTCTTCTCCCCTGTTGTGTTTTTGTAGCATGGAAGTTATTGATAATGTCATCACTTAAATCTTTGGCAAGTTGCCATGTAAGTCCTCTGTAACCTTTCCACTTTATTAAATATTGTTTTTGACCGTCAATTGTCCTTGACCTAATAATTCTTTCTATTGGGTACTCCTGGTCATCATTTTGATCCTTTGGATCTACATCATTGTCATCATTTTGATCTTTTGGATCTACATCATTGTCATCGTCATCATCAATAGGTGCTTGTAGTGCCTCCTGTTGAGGTTGTACTTGTGGCTGAACTGGCATTGGTAAATCTGGACGAGGGACGTCCCTTGGAGGTGCGTTTAAATTTTGTCTGTGATCAGGTGGGTGGTATAGTTTTAACCTGTTTGCATTGATCATACTTTTGAGTAATTTATGGTCGCTACATCTGCGCAATTTGTATGTGTAATTCGAACCTTTGTCAACAATGTAAAATGGTCCATCTTGTTTCTTGTAAAGTTTGGAAGAATATCCAACTGGTACTTTTGGAGTAAATACTAAAACTTGGTCGTTTACTTCAAACTTTGGCAATTCTGTACGTTTGTCATAATTTGTTTTCTGCTTTTGTTGAGCATGGTTTAAGTTTTCTGTAGCTATTGCCTTAGCTATTTTCAAGTTGTCCAATATATTATCAATATGTGTTTTCAGGTTTTTGTTAAGATCTTCCCTTGGGATAAGGTTGACATCAAAAGGAAGGTTCATGTCTTTGCCAAAAACAAGATAGAATGGAGAGTACTCTGAAGAAGCAGATGGAGTCATGCGAAAAGCCATTAGAATACCAGGCAGTAGTTCTGGCCAGTTTGACTGTTGTTCATTAATGACAGTTCTAATGCATTGTATGATGGTTTTGTTGGTACGCTCAGCAATTGAATTTGTTTGAGGATGGTAAGAGCTTGTAAAGGAATGTTTGACATTAAAAATGTGGTTAACTGCTGCAACAAGCTTGCTCATGAATCCTTGACCACGATCTGTACAGATGGAAACTGGGCTTCCAAATCTTGTAAATATCTCCTTGTGTAATACAGAGGCAATTTCTGCTGCACTTTCTGACTTAACTGGAAAACATTCTACCCATTTACTGAAAGAATCGACTATGATTAAGATGAAGCGATGTCCTTCGCTTGTCTCTCTCTTAAAAGGACCAATAAAGTCCATGTGCCATCGAGCAAATGTATCTGTAATTGGCATTGGTGTCATTGGAACTCTTTTGGAATGTGGTGGATATTTTGCTTTTTGACATGGTTCGCAACCTTTAATGTATTCTGTAACTACTTGGTACATGCGTGGAAAATAGTACTTTTCTTGAATAGACTGGTATGTCCGATCAAAACCAAAGTGTCCGTGATCATGGTATGCCTTCATTAGATCATTTCTAAGTGTACGTGGCAATGCAAGTTGTTTAATGAACCTTTTGATTTTTCTTAAACCTTTTTGTCTTGGTTGGTACTGATGATACAGGACATCATCTTGCATGATATATTGGCTTGCCTCTAGGACAACCTTTTGTGCTATTTTCTTGTCATCTGGTAGTGTGTTGTTTTTAACATATTCATATATGAGACTAAAATCTGGACATTCACTCTGAAGTTTGCCTATTTCTATGGGTATGATATCAGATGTTGTTAATTCTGCAACTAAAGGTGATGTGCTTTGAGGCTGATCAGAATAGACAAAAGTAACTTCAAGAAAAGGATTTTCAGATTGGTCAATAGCATGAATTGAAGGTATGACATCTTCAGGTTCAGAAATATCAGATTCTTTTGTGACTGGATATTCACGTCTAGAAAGACAATCAGCAACAACATTTGTTTTACCTTGTCTGTATAAAATTTCCATGTCATAACCTTGTAACAAAACTGACCATCTGGCCAAGCGACCAGTAGATTGTTTGATGTTGTTCAGAAATTTTAGAGCATTGTGATCTGTATACACTTTAAAATGTTTGTATGCTAGGTAAACATGATATGTTTTGACACCTTCCAATATAGCTAGACATTCATGCTCACTAGCTGACCATTTCCTCTCTGCTTCCGTTAAACTTCGACCACCATAAGCTATAACTTTTTCTTGGCCTTCAGAATCTAATTGAGCAAGAAAATAACCTATAGCTGTGCCGCTGGCATCAGTGGTAAGAATAAAGTCTTTCGACATGTCAGGATAAGCAAGAATAGGAGATGAAATCAGAGTCTTTTTGAGTTTATCAAAAGCAACTTGACAATCCTCTGTCCATTCAAAAGGTACATTGTCCTTAGTCAGATTATGCAATGGACCTGCAATGTGGCTATACCCTTGAACAAATTTTCTGTAATAGTTACAGAGACCTAAGAAACTTCTGACCTGTTTTTCAGTTTTAGGCACAGGAAAAGATTCTACAGTTTCAATTTTAGATTTGTCAACTTCAACACCTTTCTTAGAAACTTTATGGCCTAGATAAATGACTTCTTTTCGTGCAAACTGACATTTGCTTGGTTTAAGTGTGAGATTTGCAGCTTTCAATCTGTCAAAAACAAGCTGAAGATGTTTTAAATGTTCTTCAAATGTTCTGCTAAAGACAAGTATGTCATCTACATAGACTAGAGCAATCTGGTAATTGAGACGATGAAGAACCTGAGTCAAAAGATGTTGAAAAGAAGATGGTGCTGCTGATAAACCAAAAGGAAGCCTTTTCCACTGATAAACTCCACTAGGAGTGACAAAAGCAGATTTATGAGCCGTGGCTGGGTCTAACTGACATTGCCAATATCCGGACAAAAGATCTAAAGTTGTGAATATCTGCGCTTGTGAGCGCCCTAAGGAGTCAAGAACATCCTCAATGCGAGGCAAAGGAAAAAACTTGGGACGTGACACCTTATTAAGGGAGCGAAAATCACAACAGAACCTCAGTTCCCCAGATTTCTTTTTGCACATGACTACAGGTGCAGCCCATTCACTGGTGGACTCTTCTATGATACCGTGTTCAAGCATTTTGTCAATTTGTTTGTTCATTTCTTCTAGAACTGGTGGAGATTGTCTGTAAAATCTTTTTCGTATTGGTGGCGCATCACCAGTGTCAATTGTATGTTTGTATAGATTTGTATTTCCTAGTTCACTAAGATCTTTGGCAAAAACTTGTCTATTTTTAGAAAGAAATGCTTGGAGAATAGGTTTTTGAGTTTCAGACAGATCTGAGTCACTGAAATCAAAGTCACACTGATCATCAGATTTAGAATTCTGAGTGTTCTTATCAACTTGAGTGTCTGTTAAAGAAATGATAGATTTAGAGTCAACTGCAGAAACTGAAGCAACAACAAAGTTAGCTGGCAAATGAATAGTTTTTTCTGTAGGATTCATCACTCTCATGAAAGAATTGCCAGTGTCATCTAGTTGAACAATGGACTTTGCCCCAGCTAATGATTGACTTGGTAATGTGTGCAAGGGTTCTAAAAGAGCAGTTTGGTTTCTTAAATTGGACACTTTGACTGGAATGTCAACTTGATGTAACCCTTTGATGTGAATGTGTCTCTTTGTGCGAGCTAAACCATTGTTTAACTCTACAGAATGGACAAGTTTTTCATCAGTGTCTGGCTCTGGGATAAACAGAGTGTTAGAGGGACAATCAATGATTGCTCCATTTTCAGTTAGAAAATCAAATCCTAAAATCATACTTTGTTGCATTTTGGAAAAGACATGAAAACGATAGACAAAAGAAATATTTCCTATAGTAAAAGGCAAAAGGATAAGTCCTAAAATGGGATGGTGTTCACCCCCAACACCTACAGCATCTTGAACTCTTGTTCGCTGAATTTGTTTAAGATCAAAGTTTAAAGATTTGAGTAAATTTACTGAGCAGCAGCTAATAGCTGCTCCTGTGTCAACCAAACTTTTTACGTTGTTACCTTTTATTGTAACGTGAACTGTATTGCCATTTAATTTTGACAACTGTGCAATTTCTGGTAATTTTAAATTTTCATTTTTATGTGTTTCTTTTCTGTTTTTGAAATTTCTGTTTTGGTGTTGTCTCTCTTGCCTTTGTTTTGTGTGTCAATAACCTACCCTATAATTAGATTGTTGTCTTGGTTGCCAGTTTTGTGAATTAGATTGTTGTCTTGATTGCCAGTTTTGTGAATTTGCCTTTCGCTCATCAAATTCTTTCTTATCACATACCTCTTTAAAATGACCAAACTTGTGACAATAAAAACATTCAACATTGTATGCTGGGCATTTTCTCCTATCAAATACATGTGACTTACCACAAAACTTGCATTTGGTCAGTGACTGCTGCCTTGATCCTCTATAATTTTGACTGTAATTTGGCTTGTTTTGATCATGATGAGGTACACCCACTGCCATCACTTGTTCTTTAAAAACTGATCTTATACCCTCTACTAAAGAAGAACATAAATCATTAATTGAATGTACATTGTTTACACTTTCTACATTTAATTTTTGAACATTTTGTGTAGTTATGTTTGTATTGTTCGTGTTAACATCACTAGCTTTACATTCTGCTACACTAGTTGCAAGGTAGATTGCTTCTCTCAATTCATTTATTGTTTTGGGATCTTTCCCTACCACAAACGGTTTGATATCTGGGTTAAGCCCATTTTTGCATAAACCCACGATTGTCTGCTCACTAATGTTCTGTGCACCACTTGCTAGGTTTTGTACTCTAGTTAAGTATTGTATCCCGGTCTCATGCGGATGTTGTTTAAGCCGGTACAACTCATTATTTGTGTTATGGTGTTTAAATCTGTCCAGAAAAGCAGCTTTCAAATTTGTCAGATCATCACGTGTTTCTGTAGGTAAGGAATGATACCATGTTGAGGCTTGTCCCTCAACATGAAATGAAAATGCAGCTAAAGCTGCCTCATTCTGATAATTTTGTAGTTTAATGTAATTTTCAAACATTGTCCACCAAATGGCAGGAACCTGGCTTGTTTCATCATGAAAATGAGCTAAATTTATATGTGACATTACTCGTTTTGTATTATTTGTCAAACCTATTGGAATAATATGCACTATCTGTTGTTCAGCTTCTGGTTCTATTTCTATTTCTTCTTCTGCTTGTTCTGTGTCTTGCAAATTTATCTGGTTATTTGCTACTGGTTCCTGTTCAGTTATGTTGACAATCTCTGTTTGATCGTCACCTGGTTGTTGTTCGGTTATTATTACCAGAATCTCCTCTAGATCTGTGGAGTATATGTCCTCAGCGGCTTGTGCTTTGGCCCTTGTATTATAATTGGACGGTGTTGCCCCTGTCGTTGACTTGGCACCAGCTGTATTCTTGTATGGCATGTAGACAGTAGAGCAAGGTAACAGGAAAGAGTCAGTCCTCTGCCAATTTGTGAACGTGGAATAGTTCGTTTTGGTTTGTTTGTTGGTATATGGCTATAATAGCTGGAATGAAAAACCAATTCTTTGTAAAATAATAGATCTTTATTAATTGCTGGTCAATGTTCAAGTGACCACAATTTCATAAAATACAAATTTTGTTTCATTCCCAGGTGAGGCCCAATTAGGTAAAATAATTATATACACAAAGGAAAATATCTCATAAACCCTGTCACTGGCCCCATGTCACCTAAGAGCTAAAATCTATGATAGCGTGGTCTTAATCCGGACATGCTAATCCAACATATAGTCAAAGGTTACATAATATTTGCTATCGCTAATAGATAATATAATAAACTCTAATTTATAGCTTTTGTAAATCTTTTGTAGAAAAATGACAATTTATAGCTATTTTATTTCTTTGTCGAATTCTGGTATTTTATATAATCTCTTTAAAATTAACTTATATATTTGGGTGACATGACGACAGTGAAATTATTTTTATTTATAAAATAAATTAAAACTCATTTCTATTAAAACTATAGTAAAAATAAGTAAAAGATCTATAAGAAAAAGTGATGGTGCATTTTTCCTTATCACACCTGCATCAGTGACCAAACTTAAGTGTATGGTTTGTTTATGGCATATGCTAGCAAAATTGCTACATGAATATTTTCTCTTTTTCGAGGATTAACTGGTTTTTTTAAATGAAAAAAATTTCGATGCAACAAAGATAGGTGGTGCTTAACTTTTGGCGGACTGTATATTAGCTCATCACATGTACTCATCCGTGTAAAAGTTTGTTGTGATTTACATTGATTGATCAATACATACTTTTATTTTAAAGAGTTGGGGTTAAATTGATATTGGTATGTAAAACAATTCAATAGTACGTAACATAGTACAATGTTGAAACAGATGAAAAATTGGCGCATAAGAGAAAAGGTTGACGTTTTAATGGATGAGAATGGGAACCAAAAAACAGTATTTGTAATCCAAAACTTTCCCCTACTTAATCTTTTATTCATAGTTCATGGTTGTAATATTTTCTGGGGACAACAATATGTTTTAAACTCTAACAAAACATGATAAAGGTTTCAATGGCGTAGCACCACTGTAGCATTGTAAGCATGTGCTTACAAATAATTTTATAATTTTTTTTTTCAATAAGAATTTTACTATAATCGGTCAGCTTCTTATGGGCTGCCGTCTCCCCTTCCAGACCCCCTGCTTACATTTTCTTTTGGGGTTTTAAAAATCTATTTCGATTTGAAATAAACATTTTTATCACTTACCTTTTACAACAACAAAAAAGGGGGGTAGGATCAATTTTCCACGAATCCATATAAAAACTAGGGCATTTTTCAAAAGTCCTACAATCTTTACTAAACACATTATTAGATTCATATGTTTACGGTAAGGTATTATCAACATCTTAGCGTACTTAGCAATATTTTCGTTAACAGCAATATATCACTGAATATATAAGGAAATATAATTTAATACGGTTTAGGTCTCATAAATACGTTATATAAACTTCGAATTCCATGGGGTAGCAGTGGCGGATCCAGAAATTTTCATAAGGGATGGGGCCACTGACTGCCATAAAAGGGGGGCCGCTCCAGTGATTCCCTAAACAATCAACCAAATTGTTTCAACAAAATGGAGGTCCATGCCCCCCCCCTGAAATCCGCCTCTTGGTAGGTCTTAAAACTTTTCGATTTTGTCCCTGTAAGTGAAACAAATTTAGGGGAAATTTGCCCTACATCTTTAGAATAAAACTAAATAATTGAAAATTCAAATGATGCTCCCCCCCCCCACACACACACACAGAAAACAGGGTATTGCATGCCCGAAGTTCCTCATCTCTTCCTTCCTTCATACTGTTTACTAACGGTTACAATTGATACCACGCGGTGTATTATAACAATTCAACGTTCAAATTTATTTGCGTACACATGCACGTAAAGAGTAAACAAAAGAAAATAATAGCATGAATTCCATGCGTGTAAAAACTGAGTACTTTTCGGTATACACAACAACGAGATTGAGAAATAAGGGTAGAATGAAGTGTATAAACTATCCTCTGTTATCTCTTGATTTGTTGATTATACGTGATTGGAAGAAAATTACGATGATCGTTAATATTTAGCAATAAACAAACGAATTATTAGTAGTTTATTACTGATAGAAGTGGGACATTTAAAGACGTATCGTATCCGTATCTGATACGTTGACGTATCTGAACGTATCTATTGGTTATTGATCAAAATTGATTATTTACGTGTTTAAATAGTACATGTTTATGTGGATTTTTGTTTGTTATGTTAGATGTCTTTCGGTCATTAATACACTCTCTTTTTAACACGATAGTTTTCAATTTATGTTTACTCGTTTATATCTAAACACTCGATATTTAAACCATCGATCATCACTTTTCTTGCATGAATTTAAATGATACTAATGCAGATATAGGTAATGATTGAGTCAAAAACTGTGATGATAATTTCGAGAACAAGGATAAGAGAGGGAACAAATAGGGAAAGGGTGATGAAATTTTTTTATTCTCTTTCATTTTTACTATTTGAAAAAAAAAGTATTGCCTGCTTAATGTATTGAAATTGGTAGCAGTCACCAATCCGACTCTGCTGATGTTGAATGATTCATTTATTAGCAAATTTAAAGTACGCGTATAAGTATTGTCAACGTAAACTTTAATTGTTAAATCTTCACGCCTGGTTAGTTCTAATGATTTAAATATCGAATGCTAAAACATATACAAGTATATAGATTGACACGAAAAACACGTGATTGTTAAATGTGTGTAGATGTTAGCTTCTGCTGTCGTCCATGCTTTCATAATTGTATTATTAGTTTCTGTAAATATATATATCGTAGAAACATCACCTTTAGGGCAACAAATGTAACAATAGATAAAAGAAGTCATGATTTTAATATACAAGAAGCAAGTATATAAACACATTTTAAATACATCTATTAAACAATTATTAAAAAAACAATTCAGGTATTAAAATTGATAAAGACCAAAAATAGTCATCAACCTTTCACTTTTTTTCCCAACTCTTTTCCCTATTCTCGATTGCTACATGTATTTTAACAATAACCAATAGATACGTTCATATACGTCAACGTATCAGATACAGATACGATACGTCTTTAAGTGTCCCACTTCTGATATAATTATTAATCAATTAAATTGTAGCTAATATATTAATGTTCTGTAAAAAACGCATACTTTCGACTGATTTTTATCTATTTTTGAAAATTTAAGGTAGCTCTGTAGGTACCTTAGACTTAAGTGTAATCTTAGGCATTTTCTTAGTTTAAGGGGTTTTATGCATACCACTTAAGTTTTGTGGGCGTGACCTAAAACAACTAAGATTTTACTAAGGAAATACTTAGTCTTAAGATTTTTTATGCATACCACTTAGATAAAAAGGGCGGAGTTTCCTTAACTTAAGTGTTTACTAAGGAAAATATTAACTTAAGTAGCTTTATGCATACGGGCCCTGACTCTTACGTAGCGCAGGATTTATCTTTCTTACACCAGTGTTTCATTAAACTATAGGTAATTGATTAGATTTGAATATCGGTAAACTACTGTTGCCTTAATTTACACGTACATAGAACATCAGGAAAATACTACGTACATGTATAAACCAGCAAAAGTCATACTGTCTAAGGGAGTGTGAGAGGTGGCGTCACACGAAATATTGATAGTTTCGGGTGGTAGTTGATTCAAGGATTTCTTATTCTTTAGATAATAGATAGTATATTCTATTTAAGATGTAGATTTTGTACGTATGATCTTAAATGAAAGGAAAATAACACTTTATATATTTTGTGCATTCGACGCACTTTTCTAAATTCACCTACATTAGGAATCAGGAAAGTGAATTCATTTTTTTCTCTGTCGGATGGCCTCGAATATATGATTCTGTTCTCACACGTTTTTTTTTTAAAATCTGCAGTGAAATCTTGGTTGAAATTAAGAATTTGATAATTTCCTGTAAAATATTTCATCGGATAGTTGTCGTTCTACTTTTTGAAAACATTCTCATTTGCCCATGAAGACATCAGCACGGCATTTGTCTGTTTGTTTTTTTGTTATTTTCATGTCGTCTCGGTTTTTACCAAGTGGTCAGGTTCTTTTCTTTCTGGTTATACATACTACAGGTGTGTTGAAACATCTGTGGACAAATGAGTAATGTCGGATTTTATATTAACAATATTGTGATCTAAAGATGCACACTAATTGGGTATTGGAATCTATGATGTCTTCTTCTGAAATCATGAAACTTCTGGTTCTTTTTTTCGGGTAAACATTATATTTATTCCCCTCCGAATGAATAAATTCAGAGGGATAAAGTTAGGTTAGCAAGGTCGTCCTCCATGTATATATGTTGCCCGTTGTGCAGGCATAGAAATTACTTGTTTTAAAGTATAACTCCAGATTAAAAAAAATTGTTCTATCTCTTTTTAGTATTTTCCAGTGATTGCACTGGATATATTTCTTTTTCAAAGTCAAAGTGATTTAATTTTTTTATTTTTGCTGATGCTGCATAAATTTCAACATTATAGAACGCTTAGTTTATATTTTCATTTCACGATGTATCGGTTTGTATAATTTTCAAAATTTCTAATTTTAAAACGGGCAATTGATACTGTTGATATGTGTCTTCAAAATATGAATTGCCAGATAAAAAAAGTACATGTAGTTATAACTGATACTGAACTATTTCATAAAGTTGAATTGCGTTATTCCCTTTTTCACGAACAAAACGTTTTTCTTTTTACTTTTTGCCACGCCAACATTCAGCGAATGTGTTAAAGATTACTTTAAATTTAACCAACAATCGAACAAACATATTTAATTATAGACTATTTTCATATTACCGGCTTTTGACTCCGGATTATATAATTTTTCGACAGGTAACCTAATCTGTGGTAGGACATCCTAGTACTCGGTCAAGTAAGAGCAACCAAAAGTAGTAAAATCAAACATATAATCGGTGCACTTTTGGGTGAAAGTTTACTATTTTTCGATAATTTTGTTGTGTATAGAAAACATAAAACAGTAAATTTGCCGCCCATAAATTGTACCTATCGTATACTAAGCTTGATTTTACTTTTTTATGTTGCTCTTACTTGACCGAGTACCAGGATGTGCAACCACAGAGAAGGTAACCTGTCAAAAAATATAAACTCAGGAATCAAACGTCGGTAATATGAAAATAGTCTAATAACTTGATTCTCTCAAATCCGGAAAGTCTAGATAATACTTCCATGGTTTAACAATTTTACAACATCCAAAATATTCCCGGAAATCAATGAAGTATTAGTACACCGTTTGTGTTTAAGTGAAATAACGTTGTCTTGTCATGCCAGTGACATATATCAATCTCTTTCATTACGTAATGTAAATCCTCGCACGTAAAACCATTACCCAACGAGCAACCAATGTATTTTCAAAGGACATGTTTAAGTCTAGACCAAAATATCTGTCGCGAAGAATATTACTTCTTTAATGTCCTACATCTAATGACCAAGAGTTGGTACTTACCTATCGATTT